TGTCATAAAATAACTTCTTTTAAATTTTTCAAGCTTTGAAATTAAAACAAAATATAATACAAATTTGAAATTTTCAAAAAAAAATCAAAAAAAGTTTTGTCTGCTCAAAAAACGCCTGTGGCACTTTTAATTACTCTAAAACGCAAACATTTTATAATTGTAAGAATGTTTGTTTTGAATAAAAAAGTAAGTTTTTACTTCCTTTTATTTCAGAGACACGCAACGCTTATTAATTATTGAAGAATATTTTTAAAATAACATTATACGTACAAAAAGGAGTGACATTTTATAGTGAAAAAGGCAGTTTTTACACTGTAAAGATAGTTTTTGTAGCCCCAGGCATTATTGTAAACTCTAGTCTTAGTTCCAACCCTAGCTACGCTACCCTACTCCACCCCACTTTACCATACCCTACCCTACCCCACCTTACGCTACCCTTAATTTTCAAATCTACCCTACCCACAACGTGTAAGAGTACAATTTACATACTACGATACCATTATATATTTAACCACAAGTTCTAATAATTATAGTAGAGGGTGTAATCTCTTCCAAAATCTATTATAATATCATCGTTAAAAATTTGTCACAACCCTTTTGGGAATCAAATACTCACGTTATGAGAAAGACCAACAATAAAATATGAAACTACAAGAAATAATTGATATATGAGTAATGTGCCTTTTTGAGTTTTAAAGAGTAAAAATACTTAATCCGAAACTTAATTTAGTTTGAGCCTAGTAAGTTAAAAAGTACAGAATTTTAGCCGACCTAAGCTTACTGAGCTTGGGCTTACTAAGCTTGATCTTACTAAGCTTAAGCCTACTATTCTTAAGCCCACTGACCCCTAGTCTAATAGACTTAAGCATATCCAACCTAAGCCTATCAAGCCTAAACCTATTCAGCCTAAGCTTGCTGGGCCTGCGCTGACTGAGCTTAAGGCCTAACTGGTTAAGCCTACCATATTTTAGCTTGCCAAACTTAAGCTTACTAAGCCTAAGTCTACTAAGCTAGCCTACGGACCCTGAGTCCATCATCTACTCTACCCCCTCCTCCACCCCCGGTTGCTTCTTCTTGTTTCACATTCTTATCCTACAGCTACCCTCTCCTTACCTTACACCTACCCCTCTTTTTATCCTATCCTACCCCTTAACCTACATCTCCTCCCTTCTATCCTTACCCAACACCTACTCTTTATTTCTTACTCTACACCTACCCCTTCTTACTCTACAACTACCTCCCATCCCCTCTCTTCCACATTAATACCCCGCTTGTCATCTCATTTTCTCATTATAAAAAAAACAATGAGCCGAAACGGATTTGTTTCAAAAATTATGAAAAGGCTGGGGATTGGACGTGACCGCGAAAGTGTCGATTTAGACCAGATTGTGACAAAAAAACGTTTAAGGCCGTTTCAAAAAGTCCTGGAAAACTGCTGATGACACTTTCTGGCCGTTTTTAATGCCTCAGGCCAAATTTAAAAATAGAGAGCAAAATGTTGAAAAACTGGCTTTGTTATAAAATGTCACAGTTATTGGAGCTCGGATGGTAACATACATTAGAACTCTTGTATAACAAAAAATTTTTTAATTAAAAAGTGGCAAAATGACCCTTTAAAAACTGATAAATAGATTATAAATATTTTTGTTGTTTAGTCAGCCGTAAGATGAATTAGTCAAAAGGTGATCAATTTTGCACTAAAAGTTCGTGTTCTGGCAGAGGAAGTTCTCGCCTTGGAAAGAAAGTTCTTGCATTTTTTATTGTAAAGAAAGTTCTTACTATTTTTTGCTTTGTGAAGAAAGTTTTTGCGATTTTATGTTTTGTAAAGAAAGTTCTTGCCATTTTATGTTTTGTATCGAAAGTTCTTGCCATTTTATGTTTTGTAAAGAAAGTTCATGCGATTTGTTTTTTTCTACGCCATTTTTACCGTTTTGCGGGCTGCAGGTGACATGTTATACGAAAAATTTCGTATATACATAGTCGTTTTTGACTTTGTAGATGCAGAGAAAGTTATTGCCATTTTTTCTGTAAACAAAGTTTTGGCAACTTTTGAAAAAACTGTTATTTTTCATTTTCGCTCTTTACCCCACTCACTAGGGAATTGCACCAAATATCCTTCGGCTTTTTGAATGAGACCTATATAGGTTGAAAGAGCATAAAAAGTTACCAGGAGAACTGTTTTCAAAAACTGCTAAATAGATTCGGCTAGCGAGATATTTGCGATTAAAGGATTTACATAGGGTTTCCTATTTGATCCTTCTCATTCGTGTTGAGCAAAACGAATGGATTGACCTTCAATCCAGTGTAGTCGAGTGGTTAATAAGTTAGTCTGGGGTGCAGAAGGAGGGAAGTTCGAATCCCCGGTTTTATTTTGGCGCCTAGCCATGCTGACAAGAAGTTTTGGCTAGCCAAACAATATTTTGATTAAAAAACTATTCTTTAAGTCTTATTTTTTGTTTTTAGACACTTTTAGAAAAAAATATTCATCAAAAAATGTCATTTTTTAAACTTTAAAGCTATATATACCTTGTAAACATATATGGATATAGAGCATACTGTAACTCGCTAGCCAAGTCCATTTAGCAATTTTTGAAAATAGTTTTCCCGGTAACTTTTTATGCTCTTTCATCCTATATAGGTCTCGTTCAGAAAGCCGAGGTATATTTGGTGCAATTCCCTAGTCAGATTACATAATACTATCTATAATGTAATTAAAAATTATGTATATGGATTCTCATACAACAATATAATCCAAACTCCCCTATCTCAGTAATTATCCAAAACCTCTCAACCCTAGCTCAATTTAATTACCATGGTCATAAAAAAGTAATAAACTCCTCCCCCATTATAACAATTTGAAATTCATTTCTTTGCAAAGTTTATTTATTCCATAAATTCCCACACCTTTTAAGGACCTTATGTTAGACTGACTTCCGGTCCAAGAAACAAGGAACTCTGTTATAATTTGACACAATAATGGCACTGGGAAATTGAAACATAATGCCAAAGAAGCGGGAGATTTAAAAATTAGTATGAAGGTTTGGTAATGAATGATAAAATTTTTTTTAAAATAAGAGGTAAAAAAATTTGAAAAATATGCAATTTTAATCTGCACTATTTACCCTACCCTACCCTACCATAGTCTATTCTATCTTGCCCAACTCGTTTTTGTAACTTTTATTGTAAGCTCCCGCCCTAGCTTTTGTCCTACCCTATGTTAACTTACCCTACCCTAACCTATCTTACGCTATCCTATTCTACCCCAACCTCGGAAGCCACAAAAATGTATGATTTTATATCTGGTACTATATAGTATGGTACAAAAAATAATTTCAAAATAATGAAAACACTACGTGATATAGCACTATGATTAAATATAATGTACAAAGACTTCAAAACATTGCCAAAATTATATTTCGATGAGAAAACGTTCGCAAAAGTTTTTCGAGCACTATCAAAACACTTTATTCATAACTTTTCCTTTTCGGCCGAGAGCTTGAATTTCCAGAAAGACCGCAGAAAACAAGATATACAAAGGAGAAGTTAGTCAAAGCAACAGGGATAAGGGCTCATGGATAATATGAACCCTAGCCTTAGCTAAAGCCCTAGACCAGAGCCCTAGCCCAGAGCTCTAGCCCAGAACCCTAGCCCAGAGCCCTAGCCCAGAGTCCTAGCCCAGAGCCGACACCCGAGAGCATTAGTCCAGACCACTGGCCCAAATCCCTACCCGAAGGCCTAACCCAGAACCCTATCCCAGAGCCCTAGCTATCCCCCAGTCCTAGTCCCTGTCCCAACTTTATCCCTAGTCCTAACTCCAGATATTTACTTCAAAGTTGTTACGCCTTTAAATTTACCCCACCCAAAAAAATTTTTTTTAATTCTAATTACACCCCTGCATCAACGTTACCATACTCAAACCGTCAAATCAAAACCAATAAAAATCAAATAAAACCTCGAGAACTTTAACCATTTCACAATTTCGTGCAAATTCTTTTAATACATTACTGCGGATTATGGTGCTACGTAGTGTTGCATTAGAATTTTGGGTTTTTTGCCTCAGGCATGGAACTCTCGACTTTGCATTTTTATAAACTCTTAAGCAGCACATCATTACTTTAAAGACCTCTGAGTTCAAAAAGCCGTCTTTCAAAAATAAAAATGGCAATAACTTTCTTTACAAAACGAAAAATAGCAAGAACTTTCTTTACAAAACAAAAAATGGCAAAAACGTTCTTTACAAATCAAAAAATAGCAAGAACTTCCTTTACAGAGCGAGAAATGGCAAGAGCTTTTTTTACAAAACAAAAAATGGCGACAATTTTCTTTACAAAACTAAAAATGGCAAGAACTTTCTTCACAGGGCGAGAAATGGCAAGAACTTTCTCTACAAAACATAAAATGACAAGAACTTTCTTTACAAAACATAAAATGGCAAGAACTTTCTTTACAAAACGTAGAATGGCAAGAACTTACTTTACAAAACGTAAAATCGCAAGAACTTTCTTTACAAAACAAAAAAATGACAAGAACTTTCTTTACAAAACAAAAAATGGTCAAAGCAGTAATAAAGCTTAATAACAACACGTGACAACTCCGAAAAACCATTTTTGAGTAATAAAATGTCACAAAATCTTTAAAAAATCGCTGATTTGCCCAAAGTACAAGATGTTTCGGGGCTTTTTGGAAAGTGTCATGACATCCGCGTCATGACGTCTTTGATGGAGAGGCTAATGAATTGAACAAAAATTATAAAATCTTTGACTTTGACGGCCCTTGTTATAACAAATTGCTACGTTTTGACATAAAATCATTTGTATACTGTTAATATACAAGCGTACCCTACTCTACCTTAAAATACCATGCCCTACACAACCCTACTCTACCTATCATCAATCCCCCTAAACCATGGTCTTTAAAACAATGTTTACTATGTTCGAACTGCAAAATTGCACAAACAAATAATCGGTGAGTATGTATCAGTAAATTGAGGTAGATTATACTTATTTGGATTCCTTCAAACCCTCCTTATACTTCTGGAACGCCTTTTTGTCGTGAGTCTTCTTCCATTCTTCGAGTTCAGCCAAGTACTTGTCCTTCAACTGATCCGCTTCTTCTTTGTAGGGCTTAAAAATTCGAATATTAATGGAAATGATAAAGATAATAGTAAAAAACATAATATAATGGTTTGATGGAGCTAAGAACAAAGAAAAATTAGAGAGTTAGCACCAAGATCAAGTTGATAAACATGGATAATATTAAAATCGTCATAACTTCAAACAAACTTAAAAAACCTTCTTCAAAACTTAAAATCTTATACGAAAACTATTGCTTTATCATTTATCAAATTTAACATCGATTCATAAATAAAAACAAAAGTTATATCAATTTTTTGCTAATAAGGTCATGATTAACTTCCTAACATGATATATAAAGCCTAGAATAAAAAGCGTGCAACTGATAAAATCAGTTAAAACTTACCTTCTTCTTGTCAGCACTAAGGCCTCTCCAATCCTCAGCACATTTGCTGAAAAACTCCTTGACTTTGTGGGTCTCGGGCCTCTCCTCCTCGTAACGCTTCTTCACATACAAAGCGTATTGGTTGGACGGTTGCTTTGGTCGATTAGTTTCTTCATTGTACTTTCTCAAAGTAATACGGTGCTTGTGAGCTCGGCGCTGATCACGACGTTCTTTGGCTTGATTGTAAGCTTTCTGCTTCTCTTCCTCTGACAAAGCCTCAAACTCTTTTCGTCGCTGCTCGGCAATCTCACTGATTTTGGCTTCGTATTCCTGTAAATCTTGTAGATTGAAAAACGTTTCACATTTTGAGTAAAAATCACAGAAATTTTATGATAAAACAATCCATAAAACTGACGTTACTCTTCATAACAACCTTTATCTCTGCTGAATAATATAAAGTGACCCTTGTTTCTCAGAATAAAACTCTAAAGCTATAAAAACAAATTTAAAAACAACATACCTTCTTTTCTGTCTCACTTAAAGACTTGAACCGTTCTCCAGCCAACTTTCCAGCATCTTTAATTGACATACCATCTTTGAAGGTATCCTTCAGCACCAAAGACATTATTCTTGGAGCTCTGTAGCCGGGAGGAAGTGCTACCTTCTTGTCTTTTTCTTCATGAAGAACCGAAGAGTGTTGTGCACTAGTCCAAGACAACGAGCAAGCGCTTTGGAAGGCTTTAGACAACGAAGTTCTGGCCAACATCGCCATTTTGATCTTTTTCTCTGAAATTTTTGAACGTAAACCGATCTAAAACAAGGGGCTTTAGTGTCAACTTCTCAGAGAAGTTAGAGAACAACTATTATATGACTTTAGAAAGTTTGCGACATTAAAATTCGAAAAAAATCCGGAAAATCGTAAACAACATTTGAATTTTTGTTCGGAAAAACAAAACCGTTGCGCGGTTGACACTTCGCTTTAAAAAACCGATGGTTTGTGGCATTTCGTTCTAAATTAAGATAAAAATCTTTTTTATTTTTGTTTTTCTCGAGAGCAAAGTCCTTCTACGAATTGTGTGGTCATTTCAGCGAACATGCTTTCCAGAAAACTGTTGATCAATCGGATTTCTACCAATTTGAGGTAAACTTGATGTTTTATACATAATCTTGGATAAAAACAGTATTAAACTTTGTTTCATAAAGCTAAAAAGCGGTTAAATTGCTGTAAACAAAATGTTTGTTTACTTAGAAAGTAAACAAAGTGTTTATTTATTTTATTTGTAGTTAAAGAATGATTATATTAAGTTAGAGTGAATAAAAGATAAGGTTTTGTGATCTACAGGGTTTTGGCCATAACTTTTTTAAATAGTTAGCTATAGATATGACATTTTGTGTGATTGTAGACTGGGTTTTGTCTCTCCTTGGTCATAAAAGGTTTTTTGAAATGTGTACTTACTTTAAAGTTACAGCACATCTAATGTATCTCTGTTATGTAAGTCTTATAAGATAAAAATTGAAGGCAAAAATCATTTTAGCTGCCGATCCAGCTCTAATTTTGAAAACCGAGACAACGATGAAGCTTTCTTCAAGAGCAATGACTACCAATTATTGCAACAAAGCAAGCTGCCAACTTGGTATTTCCAAAAAAGTTTGCGAAGACTCCCAATTCCAAAGTTGGAGGACTCCGTGAAGCGATACCTCTATGCCGTAGAAGCCGTATGTTCTCCAGAGCAATTGAAAGAAGCTCAAGAGGTGGCGGAGCCTTTGGTTGCTAATTCAGGTAACTTTTGATTTCATTTTGATTTTTATTTTTAGAATTGCAAGCAAAATTGAAAGAGTACGATGATCTACACCCTGACACTTCGTACATTTCTGAGCCGTGGTTTGATATGTACTTGAAGGCAAGAGTGCCAGTTCCAATCAATTACAATCCTTTCATGATGTTCAGTCCGGATCCAAGGCCAGAATGTAATGATCAAGTATGTTTTTCATGAAAGCTTAGAATTTGTTGTTTATGGTGAAGGTATCTGCTATAACATCGTTTTTGATGTTTTTATTTATTCTAAGTAGTTTTCTTATTACTATATTAAATTTTATGCAGTTTTCAATATCTTAATACAAGACTTATCTATTTGTAACTTATAAATGCAATGTTCTTGCGATTTATATTGTTTTAGGTCTATTTACCTCAATATTTTTGGTGTTTTCTATAATTGACAATACATTAGCGTTTAAAAATAATTAAATAAGCAAAGTTTGACTTCTTGTGAATACTGAAAGTTATGTTTTAGTTACTGCGAGCCACGTACATGAGCATAGCAGCTGGGCGATTTAAAAAGGCCATGGATAAGAACCTTTTGGAGCCGGAAATCTATCATGTTAAGCCAAAGTGGAGCAAATCACCTAAGTTTGTTAGGGCAATGAAGTAAGTCGGAAAATTAAATGTGGGTTTGTATGAATTTGTGCGCCATTCTTTTTACATCAACTCAAAATTTTATTTTTTAGTTAAAAATGGCTACTTTAATGTTCTATAAGGTGATTTATAGGGGATTAAGTGTACTTGATACCTTCAATATTTAATAAAAATCATTTTAGGCTATTCCCAGAAGCTTTGGCATGGTACGGTGCTGTAGCCTTCCAAGCCTTCCCCCTGGACATGTCTCAATACCCATCACTATTCGGAGGTAACAGAATTCCAAAACTGAATAAAGATCAACTTCATCACGCCGACAAACCTCAACACATGCTGGTAGTAAGGCATGGCGTTTTCTACAAGGTCAACCTCTTTGACAAGGACTATAATCTACGCAAACCACACGATATCTACGCTGATCTGGCTGGAATTGTGAAGAATGGAGCCAAATCCGAAGCCGATCAATGTGTAGGCAGCTTAACAACGCTGGATCGAGACACCTGGGCCAATACCCGCGATGAAATTCTGGCGAATTCAACGAAGAACTTAGGTAACTTGAAGGTCATCGATGACGCATTATTTATATTGTGTTTGGACGAGGAGAAGCTTACCGATCATTCACAATTGGCCAATCATTTGCTATGTGGAGGTGATGGGCGTAACCGATGGTTCGACAAGTGTTTCCAGTTGATTGTAGATGGAAATGGTCAAGCTACCATCAACTTCGAACACTCCTGGGGTGATGGCGTTGCTGTGTTGAGATTGATAGAGGAATCTTATAGAGATACACAGAGAATGAACTGGATCGATCCTAATAACAGGCCAAAGGAAAATAGTGATGGCGTGCAGAAGTTGGGTAGGGGTTTTTATTTTTTTTTAATTTTGAATTTTTTTTTTTTTAATTTAAAATGTTATTAAATAAAAAAAAATTTCCAGAATGGGACCTTTCCTCCTCAACCAAGTCCACCATCAAACAAGCCCAAGAGAAGTTCGTAAAAGCCGCTAGCGACGTCCAGTTTGCCGTAGCCGAGTACACCGACCTAACTAGAGACGAAATCAAAGCTGTTGGCATTTCTCCAGACTCCACCATGCAATTGGCCATCCAGCTAGCCTTCTACCGCACCCAAAACCGCTTCGGCCCAACCTACGAATCTTGCTCGACAGCGGCCTGGAAGAAGGGCCGGACCGAGTGTGTACGGTCAGCTTCAGTAGCCACAAGGGACACGGTCCTCGACATGGTCGAGAACAATGTCACCGACCCGAAGACATTGCTGGAGAGATTCAAGCAATGCTCGGAAGTTCACGGTAAATTAGTGAAGCTAGGTGCCATGGGACAGGGATTCGACCGCCATCTACTCGGCCTCAAGATAACGGCCGAACGCAACAACCTACCAATTCCACAGTTTTACAACTCACAAGTCTACAACTACATGAACAATTTTGAAGTCTCAACGTCCACCTTGTCTACAGAAGCCATTGTCTTTGGTGGATTTGGGCCGGTTGTCAAAAATGGCTATGGCATCGGATATAATGTAGGAAAGACCAAGCTGGGTGCAGTGGTTTCGACCTTTAAAGTAAGTTTTTTTGGTTACTATACATTACTTTATCTTTGTCATACTTTTCTTTATATTTACCCTAACCTCGCTCATTCTTCGTTACTTGACCCTTAAGGGACTGGAAACAGTTTTAAAATTCTCTTAAAAAATGAAAATTTCAGGACGAAAGAGACGCCCAAAAGTTCTGCGAAAACCTGTTGGACAGTCTAGCGACCATCAACAAGGTTTTCAAGGGCAAACAATAGTTAGATTTTCAGTTTGTATCAATTTGTAGCCGGGTAATGTAATATTTAGTGTATAGTCAATAATAAAGATTTTCTAATTTTATTTTCTCTTTTCCCTGCCTTTTTTTTACCACATCCTACCTTTCTTATTTACCCTTTTTCAAACCCTGCCCATCATTTTTTAATCTATCCCTCCATCCCTTTTGAATGCGCCCCACACCCAAAAAATAGGTTCCCAATTCACAGTAAAATTCCAAACAAAAGTTTCCAACGTTTTTATTTTCCTGTACAAAGGTTTTTCTTGATAGGGGGACAAGAACAGTTGAGATACCTGAATCAAATGTAAGGTGTTTACAACAATATAATAGACCAATTAGGGTAAGTGATAACAAGATGAAAAAAAAGGTTTTTAAACACACCGAGATTGTGAAAATGGAATACCATTAGCATTCGTAAAGATATTTTTAGATTAAAAAATGTATAAATTTAAAATTTTTAAAAAATTCAAAATTTCAAAAAATTAAAATTTTTAAAAATAAAAAATTAATATTTCCATAAATATTAATAAAAAATAAAGAATATTAAAATGAAGACAATAGTTAACAACTTAAAAGTGTATCAAATTTTAATGTTTAGATCTCTTACTACAAATTGATTACTTAAGGCAGTACCCAAAGATTATTAAAATATTAATAAAACTATTTGCATCATGTGGCCAGACATGTAATGTGATTTACAAATAAAAATAAGACAAACTACTCGTTTCTAACAGCCAAAAATTTACAATACAGTAGATGGCTACCCTATGACTTTTTACAATCAGTAGCTCAAAGGCACACTAAGACCTCTGCCAAAACAAAACAACAACAAATACCCATTCATATTGATACAAAGAGCCTGTTGGACAAGTAAAACACCAATCATAATCACAATTTCGACTCAAACTCTAATCCGATATTGTTTTACTCCAATGTTCTTTGGCCCTGGTGAACGCCGCGCCCAGTTGCGCACTATCTGTTACCGGCAACTTTTTCACATCGCAATGATTAAGATCTGTGAAATCCACGTACTGTACAGTGTTGTTCATGTCGAAGAAGAGGACCAGGACCTTTGAATCGGCGGTGGTTGCTTTCATTTGTTTGATTTTGTCTCGGATCTCTTTATCCTCTTCAAATTCAACCAGGGCTCGTTTGATTACTCGACCGACCATCTTTTCTCGACCCAACGGTGCCCAGACAATGTCATTGTGCAGGAAATCTGGAGCGTTTACGGCGTCTGAAAGTATGATAAAGTTAAATTTTTGGCAAAAAAAGTTAAAAATTTTATCGAAAAAATGGCAAAATCACAAAAAACGCTACATAATTTTTCAAAAAATAGCCAAAAATGTTCAAACTGAACTGATGTTTGGACATAAAAGCAGTCCAATCTTGTCTGCAGTTCGTATTCTTTCCCTTGCGTTTGCATGGTTGTGTTTTATAAAACGAATAGACACAACTCGGCTTATTGCAAGGGGGCGAGCTCGAACTCAGCCATTTCGCGCGAAAGTCTAATGCGTTAACCACTCGGCTATGCGGCAACTTATCTTTGCCTTGTTCAAATCGATTCAAAATTAAAGGGCAAAGTAACAATTGGTATGAATATGCTTACATTTGCATAAACTAAGAAATATCTCCACATAGAGATAACATCAAAAATATCTTATAATAAATTTTGTCAAAAACTTAAAAACTCAAATTTTTATGTAAAAAGCGCCAAAAACTAGCAATTGTAAGCAGAATCACTAAAACCAAGTTTAATCAAAACCAAACCAACTCTAAATAGTCATTTTTCCCCATAAAAACCAACCCAAAAACCATTCTTCCCTAAAACTCACCACTATCATTCTCACTATGCCTTCCACTTTGATCCCTCCGCCTTAACCGACTTCTCATTCCCCCAATGTCTTCGTCCGTGCTCATTCCGGCCGTATCCGACGAGGTTTCGGTGAAATAGTTGTTCCGCGATCGTATGACTTTGTTTCCTTTCACTGGCGAAGCCGGCTTCGTTCGTTTATGAGGTGGTGAGGCGGGTGATGCGGGAGATCGTGGGGTTTTCACTGGTTTGAAGTAGTCGACAATTCGAGATTGGTTTGGGTCTCGTCCTCTTTTCAGGCCATTTATAGCCTTCCGACCAGTTTTGATCGACACTGTGCTTGACCTTCGCTCTAATAAATTACTGTTTTGTTTTGGACTAGAATGTCTTCCAATTGGCTTTGAATTTGTGAGATCAGCGGCGATATTGTTCACTCTGTTGATGACTTGGATTTCTTCGTTTTTGGCACATTCTGGGAACAGGAAGGGGAGTTCGCTGAGCAGGCGGGGCTAAAATTTGATGATGAATCATGGTGATACATAAAATTTTGTGTTCTAGTAATTGAAACCATAGTAATACACAATTTGTCAGTTTTATATAAAACTTATACCTAAATTCACCAAAAAGCAATTTTTTAACATAGTAATCAAAAAACACTTAACATAACATAAAAAACTAAAAAACATACCTAAAATCACCCAAAAAACTACAAAAGTTATTAAATAGGCGGCAAAAAATCTCATAACAATACCTAAAAACAAACTTTCCCCATAAAACCCTAAAAACCAAATCAAAAAACACAAAAACCTACTGATCCAGTCAGACTTTCCTCTCCTTCAGCATCTCTCAACACCTTCACTCCCAAACTCTTGATAATCTGTCCATATCGTAAGTAATGGTCATTATTCCTATTGAATGTTTCGCAATTCGCCATCATCAGATCAAAATCCGCTTTCATATCAGCTACTCGCTTGTATTCACCATTCTTTAGCTTTTTCCTCATTTTATCAAAATCCATGGGTTTCTTGATGATATTGAAGTAGCCTGGGACTTCATCTTCATTTACCGGTTGAGTAAAGACTAGGAGGTGATCCTTTTCTATAAGGCGTTCTAGGGTTTCTTCTAGGAGGAGTTTTACGGGTTTTAGGGCACTTTCGACTATTTGGCGGTAGGTTTGAAGCTGAAATTAGGTTTTTATTACCTAAATTTAAAAAAAAAACCATTTTGTTACCTATAATTAAAAAAACATTTAAAAACGTAAAAATATAAATGTTAAGAGTAAAACAGTTTAAAATACGACGTTTATAAGCGTTACTTTCAAATCTAATACCTATATATCAAGAAAAATCAAGAACCCACCTGTTCCAACTTGAACTTCTCCCTTTTCTTCATCAATTCCACCAATAACCTCAGCTTCTCCAAGTTATTCCTCAATTTCCCGGTTCTGAACAACTGATCCCATTGACTGACATCGCTTCGATCCATTTGACTTTCCAGAATACCATCGCCAGAGCGTCGGCCCATCTGTTTTTTGCTGTGATACACCTGTAGCCTTCTTAGCAATGGCACTCCACATCTTATTATCCTTTTTAATGACCAAAAATTTAGTAGATCTTCCAAACGTTCCACTTTAAGTTCGGCTTTGATTTCCTCAAATTTGGCTGATGGTACTACTGGTACTGCAACATTGTTGATCTGTTTCGACGAGTTTTGAAGAGCTCTTCTGGCACGTTTCATTTTGTCGGCTACAGATCTTTTGAAGGCCGCTGAACCAATGTCTATCAGTTTTGATCTTAAACAAGTTGGGTTAGAACAAATTTGATATGAAAATCGACCAAATTTACTATAAAAATCGACAATACATAAAATTTCTCAAATCAATCCCTTAAAAAGTCAACTTTTCAAAAGCAAAGAAAATCTAACTAAAAACGATACCTTTTAGCTGAATGTTGATGACAATAAGCGAACCGCTCTACAATTGTATCATCATACCCTGCCCTTTCTGTATGTCGTACTTCCATTTGCATTTCACTATATATTGCACATGTTACATGGAATGGTCGTACACAACATTTCTGAAACATAAAATTTTAAATCAAAACTTTAATCCTTTTCATTATAGCTAATTCATAAACGTTTTAGCTATATTATCTATCAAAATAACCAAGAAATCATTATTTTATCCAAATACAGCTTAAAAAGTTATGTTATAGTAGATGAATGGTCAAAACTTGACAATTTTCCACCGTTGAGGACCCAGAACAATATAAAAATTCCTGAAAAATCCAACGAAAACATCAAAAACTTACTTTACTACACTGTAAACAAGCTCCATGTTTGATTTTACAAACTTGACATGTCAATTTGGACCTTCTTTTGAGCGAATTCGCCACTCCTTCAACTGGCTCCAAAAATACCACATTTGCAAAGTGAACTTCACTTAACCATAATGCACAAACCACATGTACCCATTTTCCATCAGACGTTTGTTTAAAAGCTCCATTTTGAAAAGGACACAGTTCACATCGAACTGATTGTGAAGGTGACAGTTGACACTTCCGACACAACCACTGACCCGCTGGTATGTAAGGCACTCCGTAACATTCCTGATGCACGGCAATATTGCACATATCACAAAAAATGATTTGATTCGTGTTATGATCCTCACCATCGTTACAGATACAACACGGCTCGTCGTCGTCGACTTGAGGTAAACGGTGTTCGCTCTGAAGAGAATTTTACGGATATTATTTTGTTAACATTAATATTATTTAAAAGAACCAAAAAAGCCGACATTTTATTAACATTTTTGTCATAAGATACAAAAAATCAAGTCCTACATCCAAAAATAATATTTTTCATTGTTCTTTTTCTAATTTTCAAACGCAAACGTTACTTTCAAACGTCAAAAACATTGTCTTTAGTATTACCAATGTCTAACCTCAATTTTTAACAAAACCATAATTCCCGCCCGGTGTAACCCACAAAACACTACCACAATGTAAAACTATACCTACCTGAAACAAAGCTGCCTTTTCGAACTTGTCAATCGCTAGTTCAAGATCATCTTCACTCACAGGCTTTAGTTTATCCTTAGCCCTCTTCTCATTCACCAGTTTTAGCCATTCAACGTCCTAAACATACAATGATTATCAAAACTTTAACTTACTTCATCATCAACATCGTACTCAATTGTATCCGGCTTTATTTCAAATTCATTGCCATTAAAAACAACATAATCCTCCGGAAAAGTGACTTCAGCATGTTGTAAAGGAATTTCTGTCACTTTTGCCTTACGTATTTCCAGTTTTTCCTTAAAAAATAAAGTTACAAGGTGCTATACAACATAATATCGTTGAAAATTTAAAAAATGAGCAGTACTTCAAAGTTTTTGAGCTTTAAAAGTTATCTTCATACTAAATAAGTTTAAACTCAACCAAAAACATCAACTTACTTTCACTTTTGGCTTTGGCGCGACACAACTATTCGTCTGCAGCTGACTGGTCGGATTCAGACGAAAGATTCGCTCCCGTAGCTGAATCTCAAGAATATTCTCGACGCCAACCATTCTTCGCGCATTTATATCAACATAGACCAACGATTGTCTTCCGGAACTCAACAAAATCTTTAAGTCGGAGAAAATTTTCCGTAAAAATGTAAACTGAAGCGTTTGGCCACAAAACGCGCGTGCAGTGCAATTGACTTCGCGGTGGGACGCGAACCGAGGCTCGATGAGGTCGGGTTTTAGGCTGTTGCGCTTTGATTTGCTTGTTTAGATGGGGCGAAAGTGAATCAGATTATGGTTTTGAATATTTAGAGGGTCGTTAAAACACTGTATTAGTTTTTTATGTGATAATTAAAGTTTTGGCTCAATTTTATCATGGTGAATATAATTTTTAGTGTAAATTGATTCACTATGATTTAAAACGTTGAGTAATAGAAAAGACATGTATGTAACACATACCTGAAAGTCTATGTAATTCGTACCTAAAATAGCTTTAGCGCAATTTATTTATTAACAACATATATTACTTTAGATATTAACATCGTTATCAACAGACTTTATTGAGCAGAACATACGATTTACTAGGTAGAAAGTGGACGGAGAGATACTGAACATAAAAATTACACTTAAAATAAAATTTACAATAAGGGTGTCCAAAAAGTAATGGCATTAACATGAAATTTATTAAAACGGAATCAAGAAAGGCCGAAATTGATTCAAAAGCCATTAAAAACTGTCCAAAAATTACAATATTTACTCCGGAATAGTGAAGAATCAAGCCGAATCAGAAGTATAAAACACTTCTTCTTCTACTGTGTAAATCAATACCCCTTATTCATCTGACTTCAGGACGCTGAAGTCGACTGGGCCGTTTGAAGTTGGGTTGGCCGCCTTCAACGTCGACTCTTCAGCCATTAGGGTGGCTTGAGTTCGTGTGTTCATGTCGAAGTGGCCGAGTAGCGAGGCCATGTTGTCGGGATTGTCCAGGACATTGGCGTATGGCTTCTTGAGATTGGCATTCTCATCTTCCATGCGGAATTCGCACACCGACGATGCTCTGGATGTATTCACAGAAGATGGGCATGACTCGCCGGCCCATTGGTAAAGAGCACGCTTCCATTGGCGGACTTGGCCGTCCCAGTTCCTTCGCGAGTAGTTTATGTACTTGTTGGGGGTTCTTGGATCGCCGGCGTGTCGGTTAGTCTTGTTGACTTCGGTCGAGTAGCGAATGTAGATTTCTTTGGCTTTTGCTTTTTCGATTTCCTGAAATAGGGTATATTAATACAGAGATCCTTTAAAAATTAAAAAATATCATAACCTTACTTTTTTTAAATATAGTAAAAAGTAAAAATAATGTTAAAAACCTTAAAATTACCTTGGTCCTGCGCTTCAAGACAGCCTCATCTTCACACCATCCCAATTTTGGATCAACATAATCGTCCTTCGGCTTTGGACTCATCGTTTCATCGAGGCGAAGCCTAAACAACATAATTTAAAACTCAAAATTAATTTTTTTCAAAATCTTTCAAAATTTTTCATTTTAAAATTATAATAGGGCCTATATAATCTTATAATAACTTTTTAAACACAAACTTTAAAACTACTGATAGCTTGCATAAATACTTTTTCAAAATGTCTGATCCATACCTTGAAGACAAATTCCTTGGAGTCCGTGGCGACGAAGCGGCCGAAGTTGGTCGACTTGGTGTACAGTCCAGTCGAGCATTCTTCCTTCGTGGTCTTGACGACCCAGGAGTAGTTGGATCATTTGTAGCTGTGGAACTGACAGAAAGCTGACGTTTGCGATCCTCATTACCTCTGGCTGGTCTTCTGGTTGAACGTGGAGATCTACCTTCTTCAACGTTGCGCTTCTCTCTCTTCAATTTCTGCATTCTCTCATCTTCCACCAACGCCATGGCTGCTGAAAGGTCCAAGATCTTCTCGAACCTACAATAATACGACGTTTTAGCTTTGAAGACTAAAGGTATGCAGAAAAGTTAAGCTATATGCTATATATGGTTCTCAATCAAGTTTTAACCCCGCGAAATTCTAAGTATATCTTAAAAACGCAATGCTAAATCAATCTTCAAGATTTCAAAATGTTTTCCTCCAAATATTATCCAAAACAAAGGTAATATTTCAACTTTTAAACCAAAAATCCCTCATTGATACCTAAAACAACAAAACACAATAAAACAACCCTTACTTTGGCTTCCCGGCTTCAGCATTTCTTCTTGGAGTTCGGTTTTTGCGAGACCGAGTCTTCATACCAGAATCATCATCTTCAACTTCAGTTCTGACTTCCGTGCTGGCTTCGATCCTCTCCATCAAATTTTCTTCACAAGCATCTGCCCAATCGAAGTTCAAATTCGTGCGACTGATAGATTCTTGCAGACTCTTCTCCAACTGTTCCTGAAATTAAAGTTGTTTGTTAATTAGTTTTTTTAAATAATTTTGGCCCAACCTTAAAGTGCTAGCCTAAAATACATAAAACAGTGTCAGGAATCTTCATTTTTATGTCCGTAGCACCCCAGAAGTCTTTAGAACATTTTCTTCGTCATATAGCACCTATAGCTTATAAAAATTTCCACCTTTGACCATTTTTCTCAAACCAAAAAAATTTAGGTAACAATCCCATCTAAAACAATATAAACCAATTTCAACCTACCCTTTTAACCTTTGTTGGCGTTTTGCACTGCTCACTAGAGTCCATACGACGTTTACGTGGCGACGACATTACTTAGATTACCCAATTTGAGTTTTTATATTAAAATTTCGACGAGTATTACAACTAAAAAACGCGTATATTAACATTGAACAATTTATCCAGATAACACGAACGTAACGACATGCTGCTCGAACCGAAAAGCGAAATAACTGCATCCACATGATGCGATGTTGAGCGCAACGGCCTCCCGCACTCGCCAGAATTTATTTTTTTCCGAAAATAAAAATCCCGATCCCGCCATTCCGTTTTCGTGCCGGGACCCGGAGTGGGGATGAGTGTAAGTGAGTTTGTTGGTATATAATGAGTAATTTAAGTTTGAAGGTGAAAAGAATTAATGAAAAATGCTTAAAATATAGCATCAAACATAAAAAAGTTAAAAATAATAAATTGTCGTCTTTTAGTAAATTATATTCACCATGGCGTTACATTAGAAGCCGGTATGTTTAAAACATAAAATCATGCTTAATTCGCCATATTTAAACTGCTGAAACAAAAATTTGGAACAAACTTGACATTTTTTAGTTTTTTGTTAAAAAAAACCTTTGATTTTACTGCAGCAATCTACGTTTTTTACTCAAAACTTACTGAGAAAGTAAACAAAAGTAATCTAATTAAAATATGACTAAAATCTTGTTTATTTTGGCGCCAAACTCGGCCTTAAACGACATCGCGATTCTTAAGGTCACGAATCCGAACGGCATCCACACTCCCCCTTCCTCTCCCCGCCGGTGTACCGTTTTTGCTCCGCCCATCTTCACCAGCCCCTATATAAAAGCCCGATCAAGTCCAACTCTACTTCATACGACTCGTTCGTTCAACTTGGAATCAAGTCAACTATGTCTGGACGTGGAAAGGGAGGAAAAGGTCTCGGTAAAGGTGGCGCCAAGCGTCATCGCAAAGTGCTCCGTGATAACATCCAAGGCATCACCAAGCCCGCCATCCGCCGTCTGGCTCGTCGTGGTGGTGTAAAGCGTATCTCCGGCCTCATCTACGAGGAGACCCGTGGTGTGTTGAAGGTTTTCCTAGAGAACGTGATCCGTGACGCCGTCACTTACTGTGAGCACGCCAAGAGAAAGACCGTGACTGCCATGGATGTGGTCTATGCTTTGAAACGTCAAGGCAGAACTCTGTACGGTTTCGGTGGATAAGGTGGGTCAAGATGGTAGTCTGATATGGTATATCACAACGTTCCGTGTATGTTTCATCGAATATTTTGATGTTCCGTGCCTGTTCCTTCACACAGCATCAGTTTGATCCCAAACGGCCCTCTTCAGGGCCACAATTGATTTTGCGATATATGTTTTGGTTTGAATAAAGCTACTGGTATTATTTTATTTTACACATAATGTTGATGTATTAAAGAAAAGAAATGGAAGATTAAATTGCAATCACAGAAATAAAAGTTATCAGTACAGATCACAGTAATATCAATAAAGCTTGAGTTTTCAATTTAAAAAATCAAAAAAAATATGATAAGCAAAATTGTTCGTTTTTTGTTTTTCATTTTTTAAAATTATTTAAGATTTTTTAGGTTAAAACCTACAATAATGTTTGACGCATAAGTTGTACGGACGTTGAAAAATTGAATAATTTAAATAAAGTATTAGGTGCCGACGTAAAGAACCCTCCATTTTTTACAGTATTTTACAGGATATGGCGGGTTTTTTATGTCAGCACCTAATAGTTTATGAAAAAAAATATGTTTTGAATAGAAGTTTAGAATAAAAATTAAGAAAACGATTGAAATTAGATATGCTAAAATACAAAAGATATAATCTTTTGCAAGAAAATGCAAAATTTTTTAAATGTTTTATTCAGAAAAAGTGATCAAAAAAGACTCCCGACAGCGCAGGATCGAACCCGCGCTCTTCGGAGCCTAAAGCAGACGCACAGCCGCCGAGCTAACCGGTCAACGGAGTTCTCTCTTTTTTTCCAAGTAGACATGGCAATCGGGCCGGGCCGCGGGGCCCGCGTCGGCCCGTTTTTTTGAATTTTTTTTCCTGCACTTTTTTTCTTATCAAATCAGTCTGAAACTTTTTCTACCACTAGGTTTTATTGGGTGCTACCCCCTCCAAATGGTCTTAGGATCTTGATATCTCTTATAGTTTTCGAGATATCGACTTGGCGGGAAAAAATAATTTCCAAGTCAAGAGAGCGAAGATAAGAAAGTAAAACTTTGGCCAAATAAAAGTACCTCAAAACCCCCCCCCCCACGGGGATAAATTTTTTTTCGTTTTTCTACTAATTTGACTATGCTCTAAAACTTGTATGTACCACTTTTTCACCAATCCATTTCACAGTGCACGCCACCCCAAGTCGACCGATCAGTCAAGGTAGAGATTCATTTTAGCTTTTAATTTTAAAACCAACCGTGATGTGGCGAAATGTCAAAAAAGGAAATAATTCGTTTTCTATTGGTTCAGAGTGGCGTGCGGTGGGGACCTTTCCTTGTAAATTTCCCGAAAATATTATTTTTTGGCATTTCGTTTCACCCTTTTTTTGCTAAAATCCCGCGAAAATGTGCGATTGAAAACGAAAGTAAAGCTTTATATTATACTTGAGCATGCTTGATTTTTTGTGCGTTGATGTAAAGAGTAGAAATTTTATTGTTTATAAACCGAAGAGCTAAAGTATCAGTTAACGAACCAACTCCCATCACTCTATATCCCATCAACGATGCCTTCACGTCGTATTATGCCTCAGAATCAAGTCTTCGCAAATGGGCCGCCTACAAGGATGTTGTTGCCTGTACCAGGACAAAGAGGGAGCGTGCCTGTTAATGTGCCAAGATCTAGCGATATTCTTTACATACAGCGTTTGTCTCGTGTATCTGATGAACAGCGACTGTTTTTGGATTTAAAAATTAAGTTTCAGACTGTCACTGAACGTTTTACAGGTAAGATAGGTTTATACGTACATAAAAAACTTTTTTTGATAAAAAGTATTTTTGTGAATTAGTCCTGGTTAAACATCTTATAATTTTAAATTATTCTTTGCTATTTTAAATAAACTTTTTTCATTTTAAAACTCCAATTTTACCTAATTCTCTTCCAGGTGCCACATGCAGCATTTGCTATGAAGACACAAAAGCAGAGGCCATCAAATGCTTACACTGTAAGAAGTATGTAGCTTGTGTGGAATGTGCTACAAACTGGATTTGGATTGAAGCAGCATCGCCATCTTGTCCATGCTGTAGAGGCGATTGGAAAGATTTAAAGAAAGGCGTTGTCAAAATTATTCAGAAGCCTTCTTTGATGATTTCTGCAATGGATACTGAAATTATGGTAAATGATAGGGTTGTATGGGGATGCGGTGGCGTAACGCTAGGTTTTTTATAGGTTTGTTACTAATATTGATATAAATTAATATATGTATGAGTAGGATATGCATTGACAGTTCATTTGTACTCTAGTCTGTAGAGATTGCAAGAAACTTTTGGGGCGGGTAATTTTGGAAAAAACTTTCAAAAAGCTATATTATGTTGTTAAGTCTTGTTATACATTTGGCTCTTACGTAGGCGACATACTAGCTTACAGAATGCGTAGGACATGGGTATAGTTGGAAATTATAAGTTGCATTTTAGGTATGGAAAGGATATGGGTAAAGGTATTATTAGGTTTTTCAAGTAATTCTTTCCCTTTAACTCCAAAAAGTTTCTTTCAAATGAGGTTCAGAATTATTTGAACAACCTAATCTCATGAATGGAGGAAAAGGTAGTGAACGGTATGATAAAGTAAATTCAATTAGGGTAGGATGGGATAGTAGCGTCAGGGTATAGTAGAAAGATCGAAAACTTTTGTTGTCCAACACACATTGCTTGCCCCAAATTTTCGCATTTTTTAATATTTCGAATTCAAAAAAGCCATTTCACTAAAAATATTGAAATTAAAAGTTTTATCTACCATAATATCTTGTTCACCTTGAAATAACCGTATTTAGCTAGTCAAGCAGCTGCTGAATGAGAAACGAACTCAACTGGTCGAAAGTAATAAAAGGAAGGCGAATCTGGCCAAGGAAGTGAAGACTTTGAAGGAGAATGCAGCGGCCGATAAGGAGAAGGTGGACGATTTGCAACAGAAACTCTCGAAGCAGCATGTAAGGTTAATAAAACATTTAGAAATAGAAAATTTTGGATTTTAGGTTGAATTTGTTACCTAAAATACTAAAATTTTAGGGTTTTCTAATATAGTTTACATAAAAATAGCATTTTCTTTCAGCTAACAGCCCAAAAGCTTCGAGAAGAGAAGACCAAGATACAAAAGGAGATGGAAAAGGTAAAACAGGACCTAGAGAAAGCCAAATCAACGGCCAGCAGACTGCCTTTGGTCGAGTTACCTTCAGCACAACGACCAACAAAGGCGTCGGCTGCGAAAGCCCAGAAAAAGAAGCCGGCTGTCAGCAAAGGCGCCTTGGAGAATGTGACATGGAATTCAAATCTGGAGAACGTGCATCAGAACAACAATTTGGATGTTCATATTCCTAATGAGATGGTGAGTTTTGAAAGGGTTTTTCATGTACAATATTAGGTCGTATAAAAAGTAATGAGCTATGGATGTCATGGTGATATGGAGTTCGGTCGCTCATTACTTTTTATACAATTTAATATGTTATGTATGGTATCTTTTGAGAATTATGTGTAATATTAGGTTGCTTAAATGATTCTGTGCTTCTATCAAATCATAATTGTGGAGTTAAGAGGCACAGAATTATTTTAACGACCTATCACTATATTATACTTAACATGTACTACCCTACACAAAGAGTGAAAGCTAAGGTGTCGTAGGATATGGCCCAAAACTTGACTTCTAAAAAGTTTTAAATTATTTTAAAGGTGATTTAAAGGGACTTTGAGATTACTGTTGCCAGTATTATGCTCATGAATATGTTCAAGAGTCTTATATTACTCATTTTTAGCTGTCGACTTCGACACAAACGTCGGAGAGAACGCCTATTAAGAGTTCCGCAATATATACTAACAATAATCATATCATCGTATATGGATTCATTATTACATCGCTTGTTTTAATTATAATTATGTTAATAATAAAATATGTCTGAGTATCATATGCATGGACAGTTCATTTGTACTCTAGTCTATAGAGATTGCCAGAAACTTTTGGGGCGGGTAATTTTGGAAAAAACTTTCAAAAAGCTATATTATGTTGTTAAGTCTTGTTTAGGGTTGGACATTTACCGGTAAATTGATTTTTCGGTAAAAATTTTACCGGTTTTTACCGGTAAATTTACCGGATTATTAGTTGGTATTTAAAAACTTTAAAATGTCATTAAAACGTTTAATAAGCGTTTTAAAACAACAAAAACAATAAAATAGTAAGTATTTCACTCTTTTAATTTAAAAAACAACTTATAAGTCCAATAGCTCTGTCCACTTCTTTTTCCCTACCGGTATATGTTATGTTGACGTAGCTAGTCATAGATGATTGGATGACCATTGTCCACTAGACTCTGCTTGGTTCGATGGAATCTTTTGTTTTCCGCATTTTTGCTCATATAATTTCACGACCTGTTCTTGATCATTTGAAGATATCTTGCGCAATTGTTTCGCTAAATAATCACAAAATTATACATAAAGTATCAAAAATCAAAAAGAAAATTTAAAAATCGAATTTTCCGTCCTTGTTGAGTTGTTGGCAGAAGATGTTGGTACAGTCTTGTAAGGTTACTGACGTATTTTGCACCATAATAATTGCAAAAGTAGTCATTATTTGTTCTTTTGTAACGGTCTGTGATATTTTTCAACATATTTCGTCAAGATATTGCTAATTTTCCAAAACAAAAACAAATTTTGAAACAAAAATAATTTTCGTGCTAGGACACAAAACACTTTTTTACCGGTAAAAACCGAAATTTTCGGTATATTACCGGTAAAATTACCGGTAAATTTACATTTACCGGTAAATGTCCAACCCTAGTATTGTTATACATTTGGCTCTTATGTAGGCGACATACTAGCTTACAGAATGCGTAGGACATGGGTATAGTTGGAAATTATAAGTTGCATTTGAGGTATGGAAAGGATATGGGTAAAGGTATTATTAGGTTTTTCGAGTTATTCTTTCCCTTTAACTCCAAAAAGTTGCTTTCAAATGAGGTTCAGAATTATTTGAACAACCTAATCTCACGAATGGAGGAAAAGGTAGTGAACGGTATGATAAAGTAAATTCAGTTAGGGTAGGATGGGATAGTAGCGTCAGGGTATAGTATATAGAAAGATCGAAAACTTTTGTTGTCCAACACATTGCTTGCCTCAAACGTTCGCATTTATTAATTTTTCGAATTTAAAAAAGCCGTTTCAAGCCAATCGTTTTGCCTGTGAAATTACCTGTTGAATTGTGTTCAACATTCGATTGAATCAAAATAGAAGATGACCTTTCATTGTCCAAATATACGCATTCGGAGACGTTTATGGACATTCCCAACTATTTGCGCTTGTTTGTTTTCGCGTCGGTACCTATCGGAAAGTGATTTGTAGCTAATATGATACACCATATCATCTTATATTCTACCAAAAACAATATACCATACGTGCCGCTATTCTATATTATACAACGCTGTCGTATACTTTCAATAGGTAAGGTAGGATAAGTAAGTAAGGAAAGGTAAATGGTATGGTATGGTAAAATAGGGTATGGCGGTATATTATGGAAGAGTAGGGTCGGGTAGGGCTGAAAAGCTAAAACAGTTGTAACAGTTTTATTAAATTTGAAAGTTTTGGCCCTACGTAGAAATCCGAGAATATTCGACACCTAACCTGGCCATAATCGACGTTTTATTTGATAAATTTTGACAATTTAAAAAAAAATTAAAATTTAAGCCTTAAGCAGTAGTTAACTTGATTATAATTTACTCATTTTCGTTACATTGCACAATTAAAAAAAATTTTTAGTTCTGCCGTAATTGCAAATTTTAAACCAAGATATAGTAGTTTTACCGCAATTTCAGTGCAAATCTTTGGTTTTTCAGTGAGAACTTCTGAATCAAATGTCGTATGATTATCATATTTTCACAATTTACGTAAAAGCACATTATCTTTAATTCGTATAGAACGAATTTTGATATCTGTCTTTTAAACCATTATATAGTAGTTTTCCCGTAATTTCAGTGCAAATTTTTGGTTTTTCAGTGAGAACTTGCGAAGTTTTTTTTTAAATTTGGCTTTTTTTTTATCAAAGGTTTTAATAGTGTCTTCTTTAAATTGTATAGAAGAATTGTTAATTATTATTGTATTTTTTAAGTTACACTGCTTACGTATGACACTGTAACGTAAAAAACGCGCAGGTTTCATAATTTGGGCGCAGGTCGACCCGCCATTCTCAGTTCCCTTTTTGTTGAAAGTGGACCGAACGTGATTTATAAAACGGCACTCTCGCAGCCGCAACTTCCCGCCTAAAATTCATAGCACTTTTCTTACCCCTTCTCCCAATCCCCCCCCTTCCGCAAAACCCCGCCCACACCAGTAGAAACTATATAAACCCAGCGCGCCGTTGCTTCTCCATACCAAATTTTTGGTTCGATCAGCGCTCAAAACCCCAAACGATCATGTCTGGACGTGGAAAAGGAGGCAAAGCCAAGACCGGCGGAAAGGCCAAGTCTCGCTCATCGAGAGCCGGACTTCAGTTCCCTGTAGGTCGTCTTCACCGTATCCTCCGCAAAGGCAACTACGCTCAACGTGTTGGAGCTGGAGCTCCAGTCTACTTGGCCGCCGTGTTGGAGTACTTGGCCGCCGAAGTGTTAGAGTTGGCCGGTAACGCCGCCCGCGACAACAAAAAGTCCAGAATCAACCCACGCCACTTGCAGTTGGCCGTGAGGAACGATGAGGAATTGAACAAACTCTTGGCTGGTGTCACCATCGCTCAGGGTGGTGTGTTGCCCAACATCAACGCCGTCTTGTTGCCCAAGAAGACCGCCGACTCCCAAGCCTAAGCTAATGGACTAGCTGTTCGTCTTGCTTTAAGCTAATGGACTAGCTGTTCAACTGGTTTAACATGGAGACTACTGTAGTCTTGCTTCTGCCTCGAGCACAACTCTGATCCCAAACGGCCCTCTTCAGGGCCACAAATTAATTTTGCCATATTAATTTTGTTTGTTAATAAAGTTGTTTTTTTAATTTAAAACATTTTGTAAAATAAGTCGCATAAAAGTCATGTTTTCTTAAAATAAAATGATTTAACCAGTGCTTCAGGGGTTTTAATAATATAATTAATACTTTAATTTTTATATTTAACTAGGGTATAAGTTAGATATAAGGAACAAACCAGACCAAAACTATAATTTTTTGTCATTCCGAGATCAACAAAATCAAAATCAAAAAAAATTGGCCTAAAAATTGGCTCTGACCTAGCTTGTTGCTTATGTATAATATATACCCTTTACTGTGCTTTATTTACTAAATCAACGAACAATCAAAAGTGTAAAAATGATAACAAATAGTACAAATTAAACATGACTGTAAACTTGCAATGATCTTTTTGGTAAAACGGTGCAGTATCTCGTAATCTCTTCAGTTTATTCACTCAGAGTTAAACATAAAAATTAATTACATTTTTTTATAACGCTAAACTAAGCTATCCGTCATCTGGTACTTCATATAACCATACATTCCAATTTTAAAATTTTTGGATCCGGTTTTAGCTCTGCTTTTTTATATTTCAGTTCCGGTTTTAACTCCAGAGTTGAAGCCATGCCGGTTCCAAGGATTTTTAGTAGTCAAGTTGTCATTTTGTTGTCTTCGGTCCTAGCTCCGGCAAGTCATATCTTGTTTTTACTTCATTTCCTATTATTTACATTGACCCTTATCCTATCTTAATTCATTTCCGCGTCAAATTGTCCTCCAAACCTATCCACTTTCGGCGCCAAACCCTTTCCATGCCGCGCCAAATCAACCCAGGTCAATTGGAATGATTCGGCGCGGAAATACAGTTATACCGCGCAAAATAAGCACCGCCCAACGTCCCCACCTTTCATATAAAAGGCGCGCACTACCCCCTACTGGCCATCAGTCTCTCAGACTTCTTCAACGAAAGCAATGGCTCGTACCAAGCAAACCGCTCGCAAGTCCACTGGAGGAAAGGCCCCACGGAAGCAGTTGGCCACCAAGGCCGCCCGCAAGTCGGCCCCAGCCACCGGTGGAGTCAAGAAGCCTCACCGTTACCGGCCAGGCACCGTCGCTCTCCGTGAGATCCGTCGTTACCAGAAATCGACCGAACTGTTGATCCGCAAACTGCCATTCCAACGTTTGGTTCGTGAAATCGCCCAGGACTTCAAGACTGACTTGAGATTCCAGTCCAGCGCTGTGTTGGCTCTCCAGGAGGCTTCCGAAGCCTACTTGGTCGGTTTGTTCGAAGACACCAACTTGTGCGCCATCCACGCCAAGCGAGTTACCATCATGCCTAAGGACATCCAGTTGGCTCGTCGTATCCGTGGTGAACGTGCTTAAGATGATAGAGTATGTACTCTAGGTGGACTTCGATCTTTTGAAGAAATACTGATCCCAAACGGCCCTCTTCAGGGCCACAAGCTTTACTGTGATAATTATTTTGTGAATAAAGATTTTATTTTTAGTTTTTTACAGATACTATACTGTTTTCAGGTACTATGCTTTGGTACGAAGGTATGTTTTGAAGTATTATAGTACGTTTTTAACTAAACTAGAAGCGTTTTTCTAATGGAAAAGGTAAATAATAAGGTTCAGAACTGAGCTACTGTAATATTATAGTGTGGTTCGGCTATTCCTTTTTATATTACCAGGATGCAAGGTTAAATTTATTAAAATTACATTGTAATTAGTACAATATTATCAAAATACAGGTCATTTTGAGTCTATCATAACAGTAATTCAGCTTGAACATGTATAACATTATGCCTTGGGTAATATATATATATGTTCAACTAATTCAGTGCCCCCTCCCAAAGCAAATTTTCAGGGCACAGAATTACTTGAACGACATAATGGCTCATATTTCACTTCCTCTGAACCGAAACATCTTGTTCAAGCTCATTCGTGTGGCCCTGTCCCATCTCGAGTTGTTTCTTCTCCATTCCCCAGTAGTAATGCCATAAAATGAAGGTAAAAACCCAGTTGAAAGCAACTCCACTACAATATGAGACCAAGGCGATACCAAGTTCTTGATCAACCACTTGAGTCAGGGCTTCGAGCATTTTCGGAGCGATAGCCATGGTTAATATAGCCATGCCGAGAACGTAGGAGCTTTGCATTAGGAGGGCTGAAGGATAGGGTTTTTAGGTTAGGCAGGGGTATAATGGAAGCATTTGAATTTTTTTTTAAATTAAAAAGTTTTAAAAAAATTTTAGATAATACGTTAAGTTACCGTATCTAAGGCCGGGCGAGGACTTTTGGTCTGGGGGCAGGGGTCCGAAAATCCACAGAGAGGGCCACGTTCAACTTTTTTCAAAAAATTTTTTTTCTGGGGGGGGAGAGGGGGTTCCCCCCCCATCCCCCCCCCCTCCTCGCGCCCGGCCCTGACAGTATCTCTAAACATACAGTAACCGTAGATCTTAACAAAGCTCCACTACAAAAGATGAGCCGGTTGGAGCTCTTTAGAGATCTGTGAAACACCCCCTTACCTGGCCAAAGAAGCCACACCGGTCTCGGAATACAGCATACACATGCCAGTAGTAATGTCAAAGCTGCTGCTTGTTCCACGCACCACGAGCATCTCATGTAGCCTCCGTCTAGATAGTTGGCTACACATTCTGTCGTACCCAAGATCCTGTGCATTAGTCCAAAGTCAAAAATGACAATGTCATAAGCTAGGAATCGCGACGATAATGTAGCATTGGCTGCCAGTGTAGAGCGACAGTGGAATACGTTTGAATAGGACCACCAGGAGTAGACGTGCTAAATAGTACAAAGTTTAGTAATACTTGGGTTTGTGGCTAGCCTAAGTCTAAGCCCACGAAATCTTAGACTTAGTAAACTCGGAAAATTCAAATTGTCATTTTTCAATCTCGATTTTCTCGAAATTTCCTGGAAAGCGCGATTTAGTACTTTGCTGAAGATCTTATATTTAAATGATCTTTCTATATAAAAAGTTTGAAGTCAATCAGAGCGGGGCAGGTCGGGCACTTTCCTTGTTAGCCTAAACATAATAAGCTTAAGTATAATAAGCTTAAGCCTACTAAGTATAAGCCTAGTAAACTTAAGCCAACTAATTCTAAGCCTACTATGCCTAACCCTACTAAGCCTATGCCTACTAAGTCTAAGCTTAATCAGCCTAAGCCCAGTAAGTGTAATGTTTACTAAGCCTACTGATCCTAAGTCTACCAAGCCTAAACCCAAGGAGTTCAAAACTCTTAAGCCGAAACACACTATGTTTACTAAGTCTAAGTTTAGTAAGTCTAAGCCTACTGAACCTAAACCTAATAAGCCTAATACTACTAACTCTAATCCTCTGCTTAATCCTAATAAGCCTAACCCTAATAAGTCTAAGCCTCCTAAGCCTAAAACACTAAGCATATGCTTACTAAACTTAGACGTACTATTCCTAAGTTTACTAAGCTTAAGCCTAGGCTTAGTAAGCTTAGGCATATTAAGTTTAGGCTTTGAATCTCTACTAGCTTAATTTTAAGCTCTGTAAGTCTAAACTTTCTAGTTACAAATTCCAAATCACCATACCTGCATGAATGAAACAATAGTAACGAGCAACTGTAACGACGCAAATAGCATACACAGTAACCGATTCGAACATCGCAGCCCACAAATCGAGGTCTCAAACTCCTGAATTCGAATAAAATAGAAAATCCGCATTATGCGACAAACACTTTGCAAGCATTTTATAAAAAACTGTGGCCAAGCAATGTCCACTTCAATTACCGGTCGTTAATTTGTCAGCTGAGCAAAACTTGAAAACCTCACATGGCTTTTAAACTTTAATTGGTCGATGAACGCGTATTTTAGGTATGTGTCAAAATAAACAAGTGAGGTCGTTTCGAAAAGTTATAATGGTAATTTGACATTTTAAAACTTTAAAAAAATTTTAAAGATGAAAATTAACAATTGAAATTAAAAAAATTAATAACAAAAACAACTTACAGGGTACTACTGTAAGTCCCTACTAGTACCACAAAGTTGGTACTCCTAGTTTGCGCCATGTCCAGAGATTTTGGACTTGCTGACCTATCTCTCTAAGTCTATCCTTAGGTAAAGTTACAAGATTCCTTCTTATTGATAATAACTATTATTTATTATACCTTAATGACGATCTCTATTTACGATATACATATTAAGAAGACTAATATATGGACAATCTACAGTACCCTTTGAATAGAACCCTCAAAATTCCCCAACTGTTCATCCCGTTCCCCAAAACTCTTCTGCCGTTCTCTTCGAAGACTGAAGGCTTTTGCGGGCGTTCGCAGCCGGCTGTTTTAAAAGTTCTTTTTACAAACTTTCAATATGAGACATAAAATGATACTTTAGTCAATAGCGAATATAACATTTTTGCTAATGAATTTAGCTTGCCTAATAACTTACCTATGTTGTAGGGCAGGTTCGACGCAGAGAGTGCATAGCGTCATCTCGTCAATTGTCAAAGCCGACGGTGGGTACGAATCTAGCACCTTTACGTCTTTTCCCCCACGCTCGGTACTTCTTCTACGTAAACTTCATTTTGAGCCCAATGATCATTTAAACTACGGTGGTTAAAATCCTGGCCGTTCATTTCATCAAAAAAAGCTTCAAAATTGGCTGGGTTTAAAGGTGCCAACTCTTAGAACACTAAAAGCGATACGGTCAAACGGATGTACATTTCACGCAATAAGGATGATTTGCGGTCGTCCTCAAAGCTTTCACGGTTTTGTATTCTTTCAGTGCTACTAAATTCTCGATAACACGATAAGACCCGGGGTTCTGCCTCTAGGTTGGGCATACTGTAACTTTGTAGCATGCCCACGATAAAGAGATTCAAATATTTTTTCATTTTACGGCTAACGATTTATGGCTGACAAATAGTCGCAATTTTGACACCCTTTAGCAAGTGGCTAACAATTAGCGTACCAAACACCAAACTCGTGCAATACGTAGAGGGTTGTACTATCGGAGTATACGTCTTGATTCGTATTTAAAAAGTCTCCAAAAGACTTGGCCTCAAAAGGCCAAGCCGCGTTGACATCATCAAACGCTACCAACAATCTTTATTTAGTTTCAGTATTATCTAGTAAAGTTATGCAGAGGCGCATTTGAGACTGAGTACGCGACCCTTGAGCTCTTTGACAGTAGCATCATACCTTTAGCAAATTTACAATAATGACGCTGGTTATACTGTTTTAAAATATACTTATCTACGAAAGAACCATTTAGCAATTCGCTGTAGATCCTTCTTGCTCGGTGCTCGTTTTGTGTTGGTTACTGCGTTAACAAATGGTGGTGGCGGTTGTTGTAGGTTGGTAGACTGGTCTTCTGGTTCAATGTTTGGGTCTTGAGCAAATTTGTTGACGGCTGGCTGTTCTGGTACTGTTTGTACTTCGGTTTCTTTTGTGGTACTGTTTGGTTCTGGTTCTATTTTGGGCTATCTGAAAGTACTCCCAAAGGCAGGGCCGGGCGCGAGGGGGGGGACGGGGGGGGTAATCTACATATATTGATTTTTCGTTTTTCAGGTGAAATGTTTTTAGATGAAAAAGACTTTTGTTTTTTAACTTTTTGTTGTATTGTACGCCGTGCTGCAAAAAAGGATTTATGGTTCGTATAAACTTTAAACATAAAATACTGAACTCCCATAAGGCGGGGTTTTAGCTACTATAAAAATACACGTTTCACAAAGATGGTTTCAGAAAAAGCATGTTTGAAAATTAGTTTTTTAGAACTCATGGTTACTTTTGTAAAAATTTACAATACGCCAGGCAAAGTGCCATACGGCTGTATCATTGGCAAAGATGCCAATGATACGTATATTGTAAAATGCTTCCGTGACAATACGGAAAAATTGAAAGGAATTCAAAAAAACGATATTATTCGTCTTAAGAATTTCGGGCCTCAAAAACTAGATAAGGGGTTTATAAATATTATTGCCAAAGCTGATAGTACTATTATTTTAGTCAACCCTAAGAAGCCGCCAAAGAAGCCAACAGCGACCAAAGCTACTCCAGTCACACGTCACATTGAAGATCCAGAACCCTGCACAGAAACTCCAGCAAAAGGTCTTCAAACAAACAGTCCAACGGATTTGATTTTTTCAGATTTTTTTATATTTAGCACTCTTGGCTAATAAACTTTGGATATGCACCAGGTTTTGCATCTAGTTTATTGAATAAAAAAGTTTTTTCAAAAGTATGCGTTCATAGGAACTCTACAAGTAGGGCATGTCATGTATGGTAAATTGTTTAAGCATTCTTGATTCCAGCTTTTGAAACAGGCACTACAAAGCGGATGACCGTTTGAACAATAAAATACTGTCCCGAGAAAGGGCTCCATGAACACGATGCATTCTAACGTAATAGGATTTAAATATAATTTTTAAACTTTTATATATAGACTCTACAAAGAACCTGTATAAAAATTTTGGGCTAATTTGAGAGTCGTTCTTTACATGTACAAAACATAACAATAAACTAACCTTGGTTTGGTGTTTCGATCACTACGTCTTATTCTGGAGTTTGATTCCAATGCGCATCGTCAACATTGATGCTATGCATTTCTTCATAATAGCTTGCTAAGTTGGCAGGATTCATCGGTGCCAATTCGGCAAATATTAGTGGCGACACGATTGGTGAAATGTCAATCTCACTTACGAAGGAGATCTCATCTTCTTTTAGCTTCAAATTCATTGCCCTTGGCCGTAAACATAAATTCTGGTAATTGAGGAAGTGTGTCAAAAATTTGTTGAAACCCTTTGATAACATTCTCAGCATGTTTTGTTTTTAAGGTTATAGTAAAAAAATGTCTTGACATTCGTCCACACATACTAAGCAGTACTTGTAGCCTTTGTTGTAGCGAAAAGGTGGAAATCTGCCAAATCAGCTTGAAAATCTGCTAATAACCTGTAGGTATAATTTTTAAACGTCTAAAATTATATCTTCGCGGTTTATGTAAATTAAATGATGATTCTGTAGAAAGTTCATTAGTAATATCTTTTGTAGAATGTTCTTTTTTTAACGTCTTGTAGATATTAGTAATACCAGAATAAGAAGCTGGACGGTTAATGTCCAAAAATTCGTCTTTTATAGTGTTCATTATGATAAGAAAAGTTAAAATCCGCTTTATTTATACCATTTAAGTTACAATGAATATGATTTTTTTAATACTAATATAATTTTTTACTTTTTTAAAAATTTTTGAAATTACTATTAAATTTTATTAATAGTTTTTAAAATGGTTTGAAATTTTAATATTTTTGATTGACAAATTTTTAATATAATTTTTACTTTTATTTTTAACTTTTATTAATATAATAGTTTTTCAATTATTTGAGTTTTTAAAATGTTTTGAAATCTTAACTTTTTTTGCTTGACAAATTTTTGCTTTTTGGATACTTTTTGAAATTTCGTTTTTCTAAAACTCTGAAACTTTGAACAGATGCCACGAGCCGATCGGTGGTCTCTGTTCAAAGCATGTGCCTGCCACGTGAATCAAGTTTTTCTGAAAGGCCATGTGCTTTATTTCGTAATAAGAAGGGCCCACGTGAGTTCAAAGAACAGTTCTGCCACGTTCTTGACCGTAATGATCAGTACTTTGATCATAAACCACGTGGGGGAGGGTTTTGTTACTGTAATATTTTAATAATATTAGTAGTAAAAATAATCGAAGTTCGAGCTCACGCCCGTAGTCATGTTCCTAGCTTTACATTTATAAATCATTTATTAACAGTAGTTAACATATATCTAATATCTAGAGAGCGAGCGGTGGACAACGGCCGCCGCTCCGGCTGTTGCCGCCCTCTCTACTTAACAAGACCTTTTCATCGTTTTAAACACAATCTTGACATTAAAATAATAAAACATTTCTACTGTTCCTTACATTACGTAATAGTGAGCCTTATTTCACAAAGTTGATCAGTACTTGGATCATAGTGCAAAATGCACTGAGGATGGCCTTCAGATGCCCATATATACTACTCCGGTGGTACACATAACGCCCTTAACATGATTTCGGTTCTTGTCAGCTCCTGGGGAAAAAACTTCCCAAGACATTCAATTGGCCGACCAACACTGGACACGAATGTCGAGTCATCAGCCCGAAGTTCAAAGTGGTCCATAAAAATGGGTCTGGTCAACAGGCTCGAGAAATATTCTCGAAAATCCATCGCTGACCGGCGACCAAGGTAAACTATGATCGGTAGCTGGCTTCGCCTACGAATTTTGTTGATCTACGCCACACTGCTCAGCGGGACAATGTAGAAAAATCAATATATTTCGCAAATTCAAAATTTTGATGTTTTCCTACAGTTTAAAACCTATATTTTTAGAATATGTAAGTTTCGAACCTCTTTCAATATTTGTTTTGTTGTTTTAGTGGTCAGAAAATTATGGCCAATCGTTCTGATTTATTAAAAACATTATACAAAAGGAAAATGCAACTTAAGTGCGCTTTGGCATGTGGGACAAAGTGGTTCTTTTATTTATTTATTATTTATTTATTTATTTATTGCATGTATTAATACATTTAAACAAAAATAATATAGACGATAATATATATAGTTAATGTATTAATTATTGCTGACCCCTAGGGGGCTG